TTTAACCAGAGCGAATGAGATGTGTGTGTGTGTGTGTGTGAGAGAGAGAGAAGGGGTCTTCGGAGAGAAGAGAGCGAGAATGCGCGGCTGGTAACAAAACGGATCGGCTCTGAATCGGAAAGAAGTGAGACTGACCGGCCGGTCACCGATCCGGGCTGAGCATGAGGAAAATCGGCCGATTCCAATCCCTGGCCGATCGATCGGTGCATCTCTAATTTTTTTCACCATTTGATGAATAGAAAGCTCAAAGGACTGACGTTTATTTGAATTAAAAATATTTTGTAACCTAAATATTATTTACTTTAAATTTTAAACAATTTAATTAATCCTTGCTGTATTAAAGTATTAATTTCTTCAAAAAAAAAAAAACAACAACCCCAAAAACAAACATGTTTTGACAAACATTAGTGAACATTAAATCAAGACTGCTAGTTTTATTGCACATTAATAGCTTAAATTATTTTTAGTTTAAATGCTCACCAAAATGATAAATTAATCCATAATTTCTAAATAAATGTATTATATGGCTTTTAAATAATCCTATGAGTGCTTCAAGTATTGCCTTTAATTTAATGGCCAAAATTAGTAGAGAAGCATGTAGGGCTGCAACTAACGATTATTTTGATAATCGATTAGTTGGCCGATTATTTTTTCGATTAATCGGATCTTCTTCTTTCTTTTTTTTTTGGACAAAAAACACTTCCACATTCTGCCCAATGTCCTTTAAACAAATGTGTCAACTGAATGCTATGAAAATAGTGCTTAACAATTTATTAGACACACATCATAATAAAGATAAAACACAAATATTTTAGGAATCTGTCAAAAAATTGTTTAAATCTAAAACTCATCCAATGTGCACTACTTTGGTCTTTGTGCTCTCTTTATGTTTGTCATTTCACCCCTAACATCATTGACCCTTAGATCAATGTATTGGTTTAGTCTAAAATCGAGTGGAATTATTTTGTTTGAATCAGCTCACTTGTTGTGATGGAGCAGGAGTTGTTATGATTATGATAGTCTTTCCTCTCACCAGGTCCATTTTCTTGGAGTTTAACCTGTGCTGTTAAGCAATTTCTCAACACACACACACTCATATGTATATATACATAATTACATATCAACATTTGCTGACAGAAATAATTAATTTTTCCTAAAAGAGGTTACGTATCACATGGGGAAAACAGTGCAGCAGCATTCCTTTGATAACTCCCATCATGCTCTTCTGACTCGCCTAGGAACTTAGTGCCAGTTTGTATGCGCCTCACTCTGATATAGATGACTAACTGGAGATTATGCGATTGAAGTGAGTCAGAATGTAGAAATGTGCTAGATCTTATTCCAAACTGTCCATCTTAGATCCGAGGGATTGTTTGGCAGACCTTTTGAGAGTGCTGGTAGGGGGCGTTTGTGTTGAGGGACTGTGGGAGAGTCACAAACAGATGCAGGTATGACGCCATGAACTATTATTACTAAAGGCAGACGTCACAGTTGCGCTGTTTGGTACTGGGAAATATTATGGGAGTTTCCTTTATTAAAAGCGTTCAGTAAAGCCCTCTGTCTGTTGAAGATGTGTGCATGTGGGTGGATATTTTGAGTTTTCCGCAGCCCTTTCTGAACTGATATCGATTTTGGAGGAAAACATGTAGACTAATGGATTTCTGCCCAGTATGATGTTGATTTTAAACCATCATTATCATAAAAAGTAATAAAGCTAAACTGCTATTTCAGTTTACAAACGGTAGGCCCGAGGACTGTTTTGAGTGTTTTATTGTATTTAATGATAGTCTACTTCAAAAATGTTAAGTTAGACTTTACCCTTTCTTAATACACATTTCTTGTCTTATAGTGCAATGTGTGTGTATGTATATGTGTGTGTATATATTTATATCTCCCCAAAAATGATCTGTTCTGGTATGAATTTCACATTTCTCATTATCCAGTCAATTAGCAAATAAGTAAAATCTGGCCCTACATTTTTTATTGTTTGAATATCCTATTTCACTCGAAAATGTGTCGCATTATGGAAGTAAAATGGGTTTTGAATGCCATTTCATGTTGACTTTAAGCCAAATGTTCGGATTGGCCTTTACAAAGGTATGGTGCTTGTCCTAAGAACTGCAACGAAAGTCCCAAAACGCCATGCTCTTGGGTCTCATTGAGATCTGCTTCAGAGGTTTTTGACCACTCAACCCAAATGTCTGATTTCTCTTAGACAAAGGTTAAAAAAAAAAAAGTGTGTCTAAGATAAGACAAAGATATGAGTGAAGAGGGAAACAACTTTTGTGAAGGATTGGTCTAAAGGGACAAAATGAAAAAGGAAAGGAAAGAGTCTTATCTTCTCAATTCAACCTGCAGACGCTAGAGATTTGCTGGTGTCTTTCTGCATTGTCAGTCGGATAAAGTGCTGTGGATCTTCAGGGATCTCCTGACATTAAACATGCATTTACATGAACCTGGTGCCAGTGTTATGATGCTGCTGTCGGATGGATAAAAACCATCATTAGTTCCATCTAGTGTTGTCACGGTACCAACATTTCAGTATTCGGTACCAATACCAGTGAAAATCCACGGTTCTCGGTACCAATTTCGGTACCAAAGCAAAACACAAAAACATGCTAATTAAAAAATTGTCTCAGTGCTTTTATGAAGAGAGCGCGTCTGTGCACCTTTCGGATAGTGCATCAAGAACCGGGTTGACCGGGTACTCTGTACCACCGGTTTGTATATATAACAAGCAGTAAATTTTCTATCTTACAAAGACTTTTTAGCAAGGTCTCTAAATTCTTTTTTGCATTTGATTTTGATTGATTTGTATCATCAGTGACTGATTAAATTGCCAAACAAACATGGATTCTGACTAAATTGAGACATAGTCCTTTTGTTAAGTTTGTCCTCATTAGTGACAAAGCTCCTATGACAAAACCCTGCCGGTTACTTTGATTTATAAATTAGGGTAATCTAATATGAACCATTAACATTAAGACATTAATCAAAGTATTGCTGGCTTAATCTACAAGTAAAATCTAATAATTAGTGGTTCCAATTATTATTGTAAATATTTATGATTAAAAGCTTTCCCTAAACCTCTAACTTTTAAATATTTACACTCGTTTGAAAGTTTGGGGTTGGTAAGATTTTTTAAATGTTTTAGGAATAAGTATTTTAAGCTCTCCAAGGCTGCATTTATTTGATTAAAAGTACACTCTAAAAAATGCTGGGTTAAATACAACCCAGTGCTGCGTAAAATCAGGACAAACCCAGCAATTGAGCTGTTTTGACCCAGCGGTTGGGTTAAATGTTTAACCCAACTTTCTGGGTAGTAACCCAACCGCTGGGCCAAAACAACCCAATTGCTGGGTTTGTCCCTATTTTAGCCAGCGCTGGGTTGTATTTAACCCAGCATTTTTTAGAGTGTACAGTAAAACAGTAATATTGTAAATATTATAGACTCTGTCACGTTTGATCAATTCTCTTTTAGTTTTCTAGTGAATACAAGTTAATTTGTATTCAAATAAATTTTTCCCGTTTTACTTTTTCTGGATTCCATTTTCAAATTCCATTTCATTTTTACCAAATTCTGTGTTTTCCATTTTAATTGTTTAATTAAATGTTAATTGTATTTATTTGTTTATTTTAATTTTTAAATACTGTGTTGTGTATTTAATTTTTTATGGTAAATAAATGAAGGCATAAAACATTAACTTATCTTTTAATCAAATGAAAATTAAACAAACCCTTCCTTTTTGCCATGCAAAGTGATGTACAGCAGGGGTTTACATACATGTTACATATTAGTACATGTTTGAAAAGGTACAGCCCCAGAGACCGCTTTTATACCATTATTTCGGAGAGTGTAGCTTCAGAAATGCTAGTTTTCTGTATAATGTTTACCAGTCTATGACAATTTTTACAATTACATTTTACGTGCTAGATACACTCTCCATTTTCCAGACGCTCATCATTGTTTGCTTTCTACAAGATTTGAGGAAAGTTGTGATTTTTAGTGTTTGTATTTGAGATTAGGTGCGTCTCCTTTCATCACAACATCAAAGAAGAGGCAGAAGTAAAAATTCTCACCTCAGTAAAGAGATTTTGAGGAAACAAACACTTACAAGTTAATTTACCACATTGTCAACAACAGTCCCAATGTGCCAACCCTGAAGCTGTCCTGTCCCTCTTGAAGCTGCTCTGTATGGCAAATTTTCTGCTTAAGGAAAGCAGTTATTCTCAATAATGTTGAAGCTCAGTATTCTGGGTCAATCTGTCTAGTGCAGACAGGCCATATTAATCAAGCAGGATTTAACCCACTATCACAACAAGCAATCAGGGTGTCTAATTTTAGAAATCTTTTTTTTTTTTTTTGCACTTGGAGCGGAGTAATCTAGAAAATCAGGGTGTTCAGGGTGTCAAATCTTTTTTTTTTTTTTTGCACTTGGAGCGGAGTAATCTAGAAAAGGAGAAGGGTTGTAGGGGTTGTTGTGTGTCTCATTATACTGAGTGAGTCATAGCGAGCATTTTGATTGTCTGAGCTTTCCTCTCCATCTGGAGTAAGCTGAAACCGAGGTGTCATTAATAGCTGTCTGACTGTCTCTGCTGGCTCCTGCCTTACTTGTGTAGCCGTATAATGTCACAATATGCTGTTTTGTCACAAGGGAGAGCCAGCCTTTAGAAAAAATATATACTGTTATGATATCATTCTTTGTTAACCCTGATGTTCTGTTGTGATTGACTTTGCTGTTTTTATATTTGGGGTCCCAGAGACTACAATGACAAATGGTAAAGGTGATTTCTAAATTAACTGTTAATTTTACCTAATATTCTTTAAAAGTTCCTCTGACCTAATCAAAACACAGGTCAGGGTTCCTCAAATCTTGCCCTGGAGGGCCAATGCGCTGCAGAGTTTAGCTCCAACCCTGATCAAACTCACCTACCTGTTATTTTCTAATGATCCTGAAGACATTTATTAGCATACTCAGGTGTGTTTGATTAGGGTTAGAGCACAAACTCTGCAGGAAAGTGGATCTCGTGGGCCAGATTTAAGGATCCCTGGTCTAGGTTCTCTGAAACCCCAAACAGAACATGACTCGTTTTGATTGAAGCTTATATTGATCTCTTTATTATTTTATTTGTCAGCATTGAAGACATCATGATGGGCATTCACATCAGATCTACTTTGCCAGTTTTGGTTCTGTTGTTCTTGCATCTGGCAGCAGGGCAAGATGAACTGATTGTCTCTACTGACAAAGGCAAAGTCAGAGGACTGAGGCTTCCTGTGCCGGGTGGTTCAGAGAATGTGGTGACCTTCCTCGGGATCCCCTATGCCAAGCCTCCATTGGACCTGCTTCGCTTCAGACGACCAGAGCCTGCTGAGGTGTGGAACGGAATACGAGATGCCACACGGTACTCCAATTCATGCTTCCAGGATCAGGATACATTGTACCCAGGATTCCCTGGAGCTGAGATGTGGAATCCTAACACCAGAATTAGCGAAGACTGCCTGTACCTCAATGTTTGGACTCCTTCAAACGTTTTCCAGAACAGAGCCAAACCCTTAGTCCCAGTTATGGTGTGGATCTACGGTGGAGGCTTTTCCACAGGTACTGCATCCCTGGACGTGTACGATGGGCGTTTCCTCAGCCATTCACAACATGTGGTGGTGGTATCCATGAACTATCGAGTAGGAGCATTGGGCTTCCTATCTCTACCTGAAAGTAAGAGCATTAAAGGTAATGCTGGTCTATTTGACCAGCGCCTGGCTCTCAGCTGGATGTCAAGGAACATTGATGCATTTGGGGGTGATCCATCTTCCGTAACCTTGTTTGGGGAGAGTGCTGGTGCTGGCTCTGTGGGACACCATTTGCTTTCACAGGGCAGCCATGGACTATTCACCCACGCAATTCTCCAGAGTGGCAGTCCCAATGCTGTGTGGGCGGCAGTGGAGCCAGCTCAGGCCTGGAACCGTTCCTTGACTCTGGCTCAGCTTCTGAACTGCCCTCTTGGACCATCTGCTGATGAAATGGAGGCTTGCTTAAGGGCAGTTGAACCAGAGAAGATAGTCAGTCTTCAATTCGATGTCATTTCTGATCCCATGATAATAAGTGTGCCTTTTCCGCCAACAGTGGATGGAGAATTTATTGAGGACATGCCGAGTGTTTTAATCCAGTCAGGGCGTTTTCTGAAAACTGAACTACTTTTGGGATTGAACAGGGATGAAGGGACTTACTTCCTTGTTTATGGCGCACCTGGATTTGGCATCCATAACCAGAGTCTTATCAATCGAGACCAGTTCCTCACAGGTGTATACTTGGGCCTCCCTGGTTTCAGTGACATAGCCAGAGAGGCGGCTGCTTTTCAGTATACTGATTGGACAGATGAGCAGAGCAAGCCAAAAAACAGAGAGGCCCTAGGCTGGTTGGTGGGCGACTCCTATTTTTCATGCCCCTTACTGGATTTTGCCCGTAGGTATGTCGAGAATGGTGGAAGTGCCCGATTGTTCCTCTTTAACCATCGCTCCAGCTTCAACCCCTGGCCTCGGTGGATGGGTGTAATGCATGGGGATGAGATCCCATTTGTTTTTGGGATTCCTTTGAACCAGACCTTTGGATTCTCTAAGGAGGAGGAAGCCCTGAGCAGGAGGATCATGGAGCACTGGAGCAACTTTGCTAGAAGTGGGTGAGTGTAAATCTGACACAACATCTACTTTATGAGCTTATGTTCTATCCAGACTCACCCAAACATAAACATTCTGTTATAATTTGCTCACTCTAATGTCATTTCAAACACATATAACTTTCTTTCCTCCATGCACTGTGAGGGGAACATGTGCAAAATGGCATATTTATGGTATACTGTAACATCTTGCCACTCGAGTAGTACCCTTCAAGGTAGCGCTGCAAAAATATTGATAATCGGAGTTTGAATGAGATATGAAAGCTACTGTGAAGAAGAATGTTGTCAGTGAATAACAACTTACATTTTTGTTTGTTCAATACATTAAAAGCATCATGTGATATGTAGCATCATATGACTTGTGTCATACAAACATGGCCGAACCTTATGGTGCTGTTTTTATCCCTTTTGAAGCATCTGATATAATGTTGCATGGTGTTGGAATGATGAATTTTCATTTTTTGGCTGAAATATTCCAATAATACAGAATATTATACTCACATTTGTGTTTGCAAGACTATTTTATGTATTTGTATATATTTACTAAAAACACTGAGGGGGATTGTTTACATTTATTGCTGAGAAAAGTATAAACCAGTGCAAATGTGGAGTTGTTGTTTAATCCATAATATCTTGATGAGGCAGGCTTTCATCTGCTCACACTTTTTCAGTTAATGTGTGAAAACCATAAATAAATTAAAAAAGCAAGTCTTGGTGTTGCTGGGAGGCTTGTGTTGATTAGCATCCTCATTTGTTTGGCATAAATTATGGAGAAGCAGAGACAGCCTTTATTGTGGCTGTGAGCAAGCTTAGATTCTTTCAATTAACACTTCATACACTCTTCACGCTGCAGGGGAACAACACGATGCTAATACATCAATGAACATGATCAGTAAACAAGATCACAAAAGAACACGCTGAAGTTAATCTTTTGCCGAAATGGGCTGATTCACTTATGAAAAGTATTGAGTGCAATTCCTTAAATGGCTTGTTATGAAGACTTTGCTGGGATTGTGCATTAAGATTCAAAGCCTCTTGTCATAAAGGACTGCAAGGTGTTCTTTACAAGAGCGTGTAAACGCCATAGCTATTGAGTCATTGCATTAATTTTTTTTTGGCTTGAGTTGTTTTGGGGCACAAATGTATTGATGTAACTTGGCTCCATACATAAACTGACCTTTTGGTTGATTTCCTTGCTTGGCGTTTCAGGGATCCGAGCGTGGAGGGAGCAGATTGGCCGCTGTTCACGCTGGAACATCAGCAGTACGTCACGCTTAACACTGGCCTGTCACAAACACTCCAGATGCTTCGAGCCCAGCAGTGCAAGTTCTGGGACAGTTTCCTGCCAAAACTGCAGTATGTCACAGGTGAGAGTCACAGAATGAGAACAGACGTCCACACACACCTCATAAACAAAGAAAATCTTGACACGCTCACTTCTGCTTGTTTCTCCAGCTCTGCCTGGCCAGCACATGTGTCATCTTCCAGTCTCTCGTAGACACCTGTAGTGCAGACCTGGCCAGCTAGTGCAGTTTAATGCAGGACTGGAGGTGGCTGAGTGTTTCAAAGGCACTGCAATTATTTACATTTAGATTTATGCATTTGGCAGAAGCTTTGAAAGGGTTCTCGCAGATCCTTAAATAGTATTAATTTGGATTTTTAAAATTTAAGGTAAAAAAAAGTCTGAAACGTCTTAAATTTTAGACGACACTTTGACTTAGACATATCTAAACACTTTACCAAATTAAAACTACCTAATTAGCATTATATTAGAGATGCACCGATTGCAATTTTCTTGGACGATTCCGATTTTCGATTTTTTTTGTTAGTGTGATCTGCCGATACCGATTTTTGCAGATTCCGATTTTCTTTCTAATGTAAAATAACACATTCAGTGTAATATTTATCATAATTTCTGTAGTCTTCATTGTAAAAATTAAATACAGATTAATGCTTACCATTAAAGTTATAAAACGTATGGAGTCA